ATTATTATTATTATTATTATTATTATTATTATTATTATAGGGAGGCGCTATACTCCTAAAGGTCATACAACTCTTGGGGGCTATGAGATAATCAGGTTTGATTTCTTGGATCAAGAGCCGTTGCCCAGCATCAAGGTGCCTCTTTGAAGGGAACGGTCAGCAGAGCACGATACCAAGCAGCTTGATATCAGGCAGAGCCTAATACCAAGCAAAGCGTGATACCAAGCAGATATTAATATCAAGCAAAGATTGATACCAAACAAGGCTTAATACCAAGCAGAGATCGATACCAAGCAGAGATTGATATCAATCAAAGCTTAATACCAAGCAGAGACCGATACCAAGCAGAGATTGATACCAAGCAGAGCTAACAAGCAGAGATTGATACCAAGCAGAGCTTCATATCAAGCAGAGATTGATACCAAGCAGAGCTTAATATCAAGTAAAGATTAACTTAATATCCAGCAGAGATTGATATTATTCCAGGTTGTGGAGCCTCAGATGATGTCCTGACAGTTCCTGTGGTACAGCTGTCAACAATGTCTGTCATTGGTGCCAGTCAGTGACTTTGCTTTTAGTTACAGTTAAAATACTTGTTAATTAGCTGGTTGATTTGTTTCCTTATTTGGTCTGATTTAGTTATCAGTTACATGGGTTAAATAAGCTTTGTTGGTGGATGATTTTTAAACTCTCTCTTACACTTTTATAGTTAGATACTGTTAAATATACGGGTCATATAATTTTGGCTATGATACAAGATAGTGTGTATCTATTTCTGGTATTATGAGTATATTAGAAAAGTTTGGGCCGCAGTTTGTGGTAGTAAGAGTGGATAAAGCAGTAGCCAGGCAGCGCTGCAGGTGACGGTCAGGTTAAGAGGTTCGTGGGTGACGATGATGTGGGGGTGGAGGGGAGGAATAATGTGTGGGTGGAGTGGATCCGGGGAGGAGATAGCTATGTTATCTTTCTTACCTTCATTCCTGCCGCCACGCTGCTATCTTCCAAGGCTGGGCTGCTACACTTCGGGGTCGCTGTTTGTGAGCTACTCATGTGAGACAAATATAAATCACCTCTTTATTCTTCTCACTTTGACCCCTAAGTTTCCGCCCTCTTTCCTGATTAACACTTTTCCCCTTTCACCCGTACCTCACACACATAAACGCACACTCAATAAACTTCTGCCTAAACGCCAGACGGAACAACTTGTGGTCGTCCCGAGATTGAACGTTGTGCGTGTGCGCGCGCAGGTCCCCCGTACGGATGTGACGACACGGCGGGGCGGGGCCAGCCTGTCATCCGAATGGCTGGTGGTTGGAGACGGGGCGGGTCTACGCAGTCATTACTCTCAAGCCCTGCCCACTATGGATTCAGCACATTGTTTTAGGGAGGAGCCTCTTCATTAAGGTAGGAAGTTTGGCAAAATTTCATTACTACCACCCCACCTAATTTCTATTTTCATCATCCGGCGCATTTTATGGAGTGTAATTTCCCAGGGACGAGTCTCAAAGTGACATGAAAACATCAAATTTGTGGGTTTATGGATACATAAAAGAGATAAAAGGGTGATTTTTGTGTTGAGGTTGGCAGAGAGGGATGGAGAGGGTAGAGACGAGGATCGATGGTAGGACGGTGGTGGCGTCATGGCTGTCTCTCCTAACTCCAACAGAAATATGGTTACCTTCCTCGGCTATCAAAATAAAATCAGTTCCAGAGCAGTATTGGATACCTTCCGCGGGGAGCAAGTGCAAAGATACTTCCAGCACCACTGTTATCTCTGAGTGTTATCTTAGATAGCATGCTAGTATTCACCTCTGCATATAACACTTTGTCTTCACATACGTTATTAGTATTTTACTGAACACTACAAAAAAGGGAGCGCATTGTTTTATTTTATACGTGAAATTTTCGTTTTTTTTTTTTTTTTTTTTTTTTTTTGTTACTGATATACATGTAAACACACATTTGTAAGTGATGTGACGGAAAGGCTAGAATCAGAAACTAATGATGAGAACATAAGCGAAAGAGGATGGGGTAAGTTTTCAAGATCTGGACAGGCTACAAGCCTGGTCTGACAAATGGCTCCTGGAGTTTAACCCCAGTAAGTGAAAAGTCAAGAAGATTGGGGAAGGACCGTAGACGGAGCACAGCATAAGAGGTCAGAGGCTGCAAAACTCACTCAAGGAAAATGATCTTGGGGTAAGCATCATCCTGAGCACATCTCTTTAGGCGCACATCAGCTGCAGCGCATGGGCGTCTGGCAAACCTGAGATCAACGTTTCGACATCTAAATAAGGAGTGGTTCACGACACTGTACACCGTGTACGTCAGGCCCATATTGGAGTATGCAGCACCAGTCCAGAACCCACACCCTGTCAAACATGTCAAGAAATTAGAGAAAGTGCCAAGGTTTGCAGCAGGACAAGTTCCGGAACTGAGGGGTTTGTGCTACGAGAAGAGTTTAAGGGAACTCAACCTGACAACACCGGAAGACAGGATGGGTATGGAAGACATGAACACAATATATGGAATACTGAGAGGAATTGACAGGGTGGATAAGGACAGAATTTTTCAGAGGTGTGACACAGTAACAAAGGAAAGTTGAAAATTCAAGAGTCATTGGGATGCTAGGAAATATTTCTTCAGCCATAGAGTTGTCAGGAAGTGGAACAGTCTGGAGAGTGATGTAGTGGAGGCAGGATCCATACATAGCTTTAAGAAGAGGTACGATAAAGCTCATGGCGCAGGGAGTGGACTTAGTAGCGACCAGTGAAGAGGCGAGGCCAGGAGCTATGACTCGACCCTTGCAACCACAATTAGGTGAGTATACACACACACACACACACACACACACACACACACACACACACACACACACACACACACACACACACACACACACAACACACCACACACATACACACACACACACACATACACACACACACATACACACACTACACACACACAACACAACACACACACACATATATATATATATATATATATATATATATATATATATATATATATATAATATATATATATATATATATACAAATATTGTCAGACCAGAGTAGGACTCGAACCTGCGTATTCTGCTTCAATGTGCACAGTACTAAACCACACAACCAAACCCCAGATAAGTATGGGCCCTCAGTAGATTTAGACTCTGCGTTGTTTACCACACCCGGTATCACTAGGCTTGTCTCCGTGTTGTTTCATCTCATCCTGCCACAGTCACTGGCCCACGAGAGATTTTAGATTCCTTAACAATTCGTAAATGAGCGAAATTATTTACAGACATCTCAGATTAGGATGGCACGGCAAGATGAAAATGGACCACAAGTTTAGTGTTTATGTCTACTGGGCGCCTGTACTTACCTGGGGTCTGTGTGTAGCATAGCACTGTGCACTTTGACGTAGAATGCTCAAGTTCGAGTTCTGTTCCTGTCAGAGATAAGTGCTTGTAAATAATTTGTAAACGATTTCCGAGTAATGATACAAACGAACTCACAAGTAGTAGTAGTAGTAGATGAGAGATTGGTAACACTATCAGGGAGTATATGTAAATATTGGTAATACTGGCAGGATGTATGTACAAGAATTATTAACACTGCCAGGGGCTGTTGGTAACACTACCAGGGAGTATATGTAAATACTGGTAACACTGGCAGGGTGTATGTACAAGTATTTGTAATACTACCAGGGAGTATATGTAAATATTGGTTACACTGGCAGGGTGTATGTATAAGTATTGGTAACACTGCCAGGGAGGGAAAAGACAGTCAGGCTTAAAATCCAGAGGGAGGAAGGGTAGCTCAAACTCTTTGGATGAAGAGCCCTTCTTCACCGGTACCAAGGGCCCATGTTACACTTATTATATTCACACACACACACAAAAACCACACACAAAAAAACAATATATATATATATATATATATATATATATATATATATATATATATATGCAAGGAATTTGCAAGAGTAGGCGAAATATACACAAACACTGATCTCTGTCTGGCTGAAGGAGACTCGAACCTACGAACCTTGGAACAAGGTACGCAGTGCTATACCATTCTCACCACACTGGACCAATACCTTGGCGTCCAGCTTGCGCTAGACGTTGATCCTTGGCAGCTGGACGCCAAGGTATTGGTCCAGTGTGGTGAGAATGGTATAGCACTGCGTACCTTGTTCCAAGGTTCGTAGGTTCGAGTCTCCTTCAGCCAGAGATCAGTATATATATATATATATATATATATATATATATATATATATATATATATATATATATATATATATATATATATATATATATATATACAGAGAGAGAGAGAGAGAGAGAGAGAGAGAGAAAGAAGAGAAATGGATCATAAGGAAAAAATAATTCTCAGATTCGAAGCTTGTGCAAGTTAGCGCTGACAAATATGAAATTGAGCGTGTGATGCAGCCAGTCAGTCTGACACGCTCCCAATTTAACCCAGTCAATTAACTGCGCTAACTGCCCGGTTCCAATGATTAGCAGTAGATACAGCAGTTTATGTTTCTAACTGGCAGTTGTATTTACAGTCTTTTTGAAACTGTTGCATCGAGCATGTTAAGTTTTCTGTTTCCAGTGTTCATTGTTAATTATTGTTGCTGTTGTTGTTCTTCTTATAAGTTATATTTTGCTGATCTCTGGCCTTAACTTAACTCTTAAATTATTTACAAATTTGATGTTGTGCTTCCATGTAGTGTTACCAGTATTTACATGCATTGTTACTATTATTAATTCTTTGCAGTGTTACCAAAACTCCCTGGTAATGTTAGCAATACTTGTACTTACTCCCTGGTAGTGTTACCAATATTTGCATATACTCCCTGGTAATGTTAGCAATTCTTGTACATACACCATGCCAGTGTTACCAGTATACTCCCTACACAACAGGCGAAACGTTTCGGCAGTAATATGATAGCTCCTGGGCCTTTTTTGGGATTTTGAGCTGTAGATACTGGACCTCTTGAGTCTTGAGCTAAAACTCCTGGCCCTCCTCAAGGTGATCTTCGGCTCCTGGAACTCTTGGTAGTGTTGAGTTATAGCTCCAAGGTCTGTTAAGGAAATTTAGCTGCAGTTCCTGGACTCTCGAGGTTTTTGAGGTTGTAGGTTGTGGTACAGTGGGTAGGATCATGTAGCTTTGATACTTAATTAGGTTATGTGTTGCAGGTGGACTGAGGGAGACGTTACAATAACAAAGATGTGTGTGTCAACAGTTACCTTTCAAATTTTTTACAGGGGTGGACCGGTAAGCCAGTGGAAGGCCTCGGTCAGATGACCAGAAGCTCCAGATGTGGGCCATCATATGACTAAGACCTGCTTCAGGAAACTTTGTACCTACAATACTAATACCTACCTACCTTTCAAATACTTGATGTTGCCGGTCAGACCCTGGAGCGTGTGAGTAGGATATACTAATCACTGCCCCTCTCAACTATAATATTTATGCACTGAAACAGAAAATTAATTGCTCTGGGACCCCTCACTTTCTCCTTATGAATTTTTTTGCTTATCTGCTTCAGGAATTTTAATGTACACTTTGCCCCGCGAGTCAAGGGTCTCCCAACCAATAGGAACATAAATATACTGATTAACAAGGTACGTGCATTTTCTAGGTTCCTCAAGCTGGCGGTTCCACCTCCTGCACAGCTGTGTTGAAGACAGGTGTCAGCCTATGTAAAGGTACATGTGAAATCCCATACCATTTTAACATCTGTCCAGGACAGCACGCTAATTATCTGGATGTTTTTGTTTGCCATCAGGTGTATATATATAATGTGAGTAGTCACGAAAGCGCTTGGAATTTCTCTATTCTTTTAGAGTGGTTGTTTTGCATATATATATATATATATATATATATATATATATATATATATATATATATATATATATATATATATATATATATATAATTTACGACTTTGATGTCGTAACTTAAATAAAATAGTCCCGGCCCCTAAAGGCTGCTCACTCTACTGTCTAGAGGTTATAAAATTACACTGAAAAATACAGCAACTTCGGGCCAGCATGTACTCATATATTAAACAATATTAATTATTATTAGGAAGGAAGGACAAAAACTCATCTATATAAAAATATATCTATATTAATAGTAACTTATATACAACTTATAACTACTACAAAAAACCACTACAGTCAGTTCACATTAGCTCGCTGCTACTAATAAGTTAAACAAAATAAATCATCAGGGAGGCACCATGACATACACACCTCCGTCTTCACTTCTGTCTGGTAGACTACCAGCAGCAAAACACCATACAGTACTCTCGCGTAAACT